AAACAGAGATTATTTTAATTGCCAGTGAATCTTTTGTTAAACATATAAATTTCTGATTAAAAATGCAAGATGATAAAAGTTTCGGAGTCTGACTTTTCTCCTTAAGAACTATTACAATAATTGCATAAACATGATTAGGCAAAAATAAGTGCAAACAGCTATACAAGTCTTGTGGGCTCATTAACTTTACCACAGCTAATTGAAAAAAGGTGGGATGCTGTGTAAATTTTCAATAAAAACTGCACACATAACATATTAAAGGGGGTTAACATGGTGATGCATAATCTCTTCTTTACAAACACGGATTATTAAACCATCATAAGAGATATTGTTTCTGTGCTGGTGTGAACCCAGAGCCTAAATTAGAACCAGTTATTTGCTCTTTGACAACCAAAGCTTCAGCCGTCAGAAAAACTGGAGTTCGATAAGTACTAGCTCTTCACTGATGTAAAACCAAAAACAGCAACGTTGCAGTGTAAGAGGATTGAATGTGAAGACCCATCAGATAAATTGATGAAACTGAGGGTTGTGTGACATCATGTCCACTTCATAGAAGAAATAAAGTTCCATCAAGGATGTACATTTTAAAATGTTCCAAGTCCAGATCTTAATGTACCTCGTTTGGTAAAAAAAAAAAAAGTCTAAATGTTTAAACATCACGCCAATGAATTTATTAGACAAATGAGACTATAACCACTGTTTGCAATGATGTGATTAGGAGTGCACCGATTGCAGTTTTCTGGATGATCACCGATCTCTAAAAATCCTGACCTGATGATTTGGCTGATACCAAATTTTGTTTTATAAGTGACACTGTCAGGTGTTATAAGGTCAATTTCCCAATCTTATTTATTGAAAACTATACCCTTAGAAACAATACAAACATGTTCATGAGGTAGTGCTCTGAAATATAAATGAAGTTCAGACAGTTGTTAAAACTACAAAAAATAAATAAATTGGTAAAATTGTTTTCTCATGCAAGTATCGGCCGATCGCCGATTAGGCTTGTCACAATAACAAATTTTACTGGGCAAATTATTGCGATAAACGATAATATTGTTTGAAAATGTATAATAATTAGTAATTATTGTCCAATTTAAAAATAAATGTTGGTTAATTTTTGTGTGTAGTACCATTGTTGACCACTTGATGGCAGTATAAGACTGTTTGAACCGAAGGATGGATAGTGAGGGAGTGAGCAGCGCGTCTCTTCGAGGAAAATAGAAGGGAGACCCCTTGACGTGACACGAGCTGTCTTTCCTTTTTTTGGTTCTCAAAAGGATGGACGCTCAGTGTGGTTTGAGCTCTTAAGCATAGCATTTTTCACACAAAGCTTTTAATAAAAAAAAATAAAAATAAAAAAATCAGTAAATAAGTTCTCAGCTTCTTTTTTCAGAAAAACAACTTTTTACACAAAGGCACGGGTTTCAACCGTGAATTTTGGAGCGTCGACAAGGCAGAGGTTCCCCCCCCACCCCCACCCCGAGGTCGGCCTGTTAGCTTAGCTCATAGCTTAGCTTCTCAGCTTAGCTGTTTTTAACGATCCAAAAACACAATTTTGGATTGTTAAAAACAGATTTTAGAGAGAAAAGAGAAAGGGAGTGGTCAGTGAAGAGCACCGGAGTTGAACCTTTTGTCATCCAGTGTCTTCAGAAGAAAGAGTGACACAAGAAAAAACGATAAAGCTGACAAATGAAATTCAGGTCGATAATTTTCATTTATCATACAATTAATTGATTTATTGTTTATTGCGACAGGCCAATCGCCAATCCCCCAAAATTAAGGAAATTGGGGGTGATTTATCGGTGCACCTCTAGATGTGATGTTTTAGTATCAACAAAGTTTAATTAATAATAACAGGCGACACTGCAGCTGTAGTTCATATAAGATTGGGAAACAAAGGTTTTGAACAGGTCATCTGGAAAGAGGTTTTCCAGATGATTATTTTTAACTTTGTGTGTGTGTGTTTCCAAATTAGTTAAAATCAACTCTTAAGAAAACTGTATTTTTACTAGTTTTAGTTGAAGCTGAAGTAACAAATAGAAAAACTGTTTTTAATACTTGCATACAATTAAAAAATTCTGCATAAGTGTGCAGCTTTTACCAATTTCTTGCTTTGTTATGGTACATCATCAAGTTGCCTCTAAACTAATCCACAGTGACTCAGCACTTTCTTATTCACAATCAGTTCAAAATAAACGTCTCCGTGATGTTCAGAAGAGAAGCTTTAAAGCTTTATGTTTTTATAAGATAAAACAGAACAACGCTCTGCTAAAGTTTACAAGGCTGGGCTAAAAGATATGAAATATTATACAACTGATTAGATAAAAACAACAACTGTCCAGGAAGTTTTCTCCTTGTTCAGCCTCCTGAATGTGATCCAAAAGAAAATGCTCTGATAAATAATAAATAAAAAAAAAGCTTCTTTTTTTTTATTATTACAAGTCACTCTCCAACATCTGGTCCTCGTTTCGCTGGGAGAGGATGTAGCAGCAAAGAGTGTGGAGGATGAGAAAAGGAGACACTGAAGCATGACTGAGGGGGTGGGCTGCGAGAAAACATCCAATTTTACACCTCCTTTAGTTAGGCCTGATGACACAACCATTTCCAAGTCTGCCTATTATAAGTGACTTTGGGCTTGTTTTTTTCTAAAGTCGCTTGTAAATCTTGCAAGTCGCGTTTTTTTTCCGACTTGTTTTCAACGCAAAGTTGCTTATTTGGGCTCGACTTTCTTTCCGAGTGAAACTAGTTGATTATCTCCCAGCTCCGTACAATAAAGCAAAAGACGAGTGGTAGTAGGTAGTTTGTCTCTTCCGTGCTCCCGTTTCCTGTTTATCGCTCCTGCCCAAGTTGGCGAGGCGACAGGCGTACACATAGACATTATATAAATACGTCCGTGGGCACGCATCCCACTCATACTGTGGCCGACCACTAGGGGGCTCCACTCATGCAGATGTCAGGACGCTTTGTTTTAAAAAATATGTTGAAAAAATTACATATGCAATTTTTTTTTTTAATCAGAGCTTAAAAGTATGTTATTCAAAGTGTTTAGCATAATTTTGCAGTTACTTATGTGTAATGCCATAATAAATGTATGTTTATACTGTTTTAAAACGGCCTCTGTTTTACACAATGCGGTGGGTTGCCAGTTGGGCTTATTTTGGGTTTGTTTTCATAGAGCTGGTTGTGTTGTGTGTTTCCTTGACTGATGATGCCTTCTGGATGGAAGGTGAAATGTTTCAGCACAAAAAATAAGAAACTGTTCAGATATCTTGACTGAAAATTGTTGGATTGTATACCTGGATTATTGAGCATGGACTTTGTTGGTTTTGAACCAGCTTGACATGACTGTCGACAAGGGAGAGGGCCGGCAACGGAGGAGGGGGTGTGCCAAAGAGACCATCTTAGCACCAACATAACTGGTTTGTTCCACTTTGGAGTAAGCTATAAGCTAACCAGTTTTGTGTTGTGCGTTTCCTTGACTGATGAAGCCTTCTGGATGAAAGGTGAAACGTTTCAACACACACAAAAAAATAATCTGTCCAGATGACCTGACTGAAAATTGTTGGAGCTGGTTGCTTGTTTCGATTGTGAGATTTGGCAACACTGGACACAACAACCCAAAGCAGTTATGCAAAGACAACTTTCCAATGACTGTAACATCAAAGAAAAATGTCTCACACCCCTAATCAATGGTGGGGTGCAAAGATAAACTACTGGATGTCCTGAAAACTAAAATATATGGGCCAATCCATTAGCAAGTTTGAACATTAGTGAAACTTAAACTAATTAGCGAAACGTTAGCTGTTCTATGCAACTACTTTGATCATTTGTGAATTACTCATTGAATACTGTTTCTAATATTAGAATTTCACATTTAATAAGCTAAAATCTTTTAAACATTGTTGCATTTTTAAACTCTGAAAACAAAAACCAAGACAAAACATATAATGTCTTATGGTTCAAGCCAGTGTGTTTTTATCTGGACAACAACATGATATACTTTATATTAAAAGATAGAGTAGCATTTTTTTGTCGAGAGGGGCTTATTTAATATTTGTTTAGTAATTCAGATTTAATTACTTCAAAAAAATATTTAAAATGTACTCATTCCAATGTCATTAAGTCTGGTATTCAAACAATATTTAGATGTAAAAAAAAAAAAAAAAAAAGTACAATTTTATTCTCTTATTGATGGTTAGTCTGTCCATGGAAGATCCGACTGGGATTGAAAAGTCCAACAATTTTACATTTTCTGTATTTACACTAAGATTTCCTGAGTAAAGTATGAAGAATCTAAATTGAAACAGGGCGTATTTCACATTTGCCTAGAAAATATAACAAGAGTACAACAAATAACCAATTATAGCAAGCCTAGTGATTTGTTTACATCAAGTGCATGCCCACATTTCATAACTTACTTATTAATATATCTGAAAAACTACTAAACTTTCTCAAACTGCACGATTTGATGTAGTTCAGGATGAAAATACTCTTGCAACAACAAAATCACAATCTTTAAAACATCATCTACAAAAGAGGCACACAGTTTGCTGGATGTGACTGAACAATTTTTGTCCAACTTTAAAGTTGTGTTTAAACTTTTTTGGCAGAGAAAAAAAAAGTTATTTTGATACTGTAAATCTAATTTAGTAAAGCGCAGTATTTGGTGTGTTCACAGGTAATTTGACTGTTGCTGAGTGGTCAGTCATAAAAGATACAGTACAGTCTGTAATTACCTGCATTCACATTATTTGACATTTTCCTATTTGTACACAGAAACCAGACACTTCAGCAGCTCTCTACTGGTTTCCCTGCCCCACCAGTAGCCTCCCAGACTGGACCCAGCTTTCTTAAGAGACAAAAATAGAGAAGTAGCAGCAACAAACAGCAGCTAGCTACTTACTGCAGATCAACATGAAAGCAGCTAGCCGGACACTTTTCTCTGCGATAAATTAACAAGCAACAAACGCTAAATACCAACATTTGTCATCGCTTACCTGAAACGTGGCGAGTCCTTCAGACATTCCTCGAAATCCACAGTTATCTTCATGATTCCCGCAGTGAGGGACTTGCGCTCGGATTGAGTAAAGTCGGTAATCCGGGCTCAGTCTTCTCCGCCCGACCAGCTGGCTCCGCTCCGTCAGAGCTCCGCTAGCCAGCTAGCCTCACAGGCTAGCAGCTACGATGGCAGAGCCGCGGGGCTGCAGTCATAAACGTCGCTGTGGTGCAATGTGCCGGTGTCCAAACGACGAGGAGCGCAACGAAGCCGTTTCTGGCGCACAGGTCAACACTTAAAACACAAAGTATCGTCCCGGTAGCTCGAGCAGAGCAACCAGCTGGAGAGACGGGAGCTTTCCTCCAACAGATCCACTCAAAGATCGTCTATTGCAGGAAGAGGATGGTCAGCAGGCGGTGCGCATGGGCCGCCTCAAAATTATATATTAACCAATCAGGACTTTTTTTCTACTCTATAGAGTTACTCTATATGCATATATATATAAATATAAATAAGTATATAGACAAATATTCAGAATTGAATTCAAAATCTTACTTCTAACCTACAAAGCTCTCAACAACCTAGCTCCATCTTATATTAGAGATCCATATTTTCCTAACAGAGCGCTTCACTCTCAGACTGCAGGCTTACTTGGGGTTCCTAGAGTTTCCAAAAGTAGAATGGGAGGACGATCGTTCAGTTATCAGGCTCCTCTCTTGTGAAACTTCCAGTTTTTGTCTGTAAGGCTGACACATTGGGCTTACAACTTTCCTTTTTGATAAATCCTAGTTAGGGTTGGCTAGTTATTCTGCTATAGGCTTAGACTACTGGAGGACAAATTTACCTCATTTCCTTAAATAAATTGTTAAAATGGACTAGTTTTCATTTGATACCATCATGTGATTCTTGACCTGCCATTGTGTATCCGTTCCTCTCAAACCCAGCCGGTCGAAGCAGATGGCCGCTTGTCCTGGTTCTGCTAAAGGTTTCTTCCTCATGATGGAGTTTTTCCTTTCCACCGTCACCTTCATGATTGCTCAAGATAAGAGTTCTGCGATGAAGTTAAATTCAAAGCAGTCTGCTCTTAAGATCAATAATGTTAACTTTATTTTATATATACTGTTTCTGTTCAGAGCTCTGAGACGACTTGTAACTTGGCACTATACAGTATAAATAAACTGAAAAGAAAATATACTGTTCCTTACCCTGGATGATTATTGTTTTAGAGATGTGTCACTCTGTCATTTAATCAGTAGTGTTTTTAAATACTTTTGAGACTAGTAAACTCTACTACTCATGTTATTTGATTAAAGAGGTACAGTTGGGACTTTGGCAGGACAGATAAAGTTGATAACTATGTAGTAAACTAGGCCTGAGGTCAAGTCCTGACCTTATGGACCTTATGGGACAGAAACTGTCATTTCATTGATTTGAATCCAGAAATACAGGTTGACCCATCCTGAGACTTTCTTTCTTAAATTAATGAAGTGAAAGAAGACTACTTTCAATTATCATTACTATTTTACAAATGTTTGATAATCAAATTGTGTTAGTTCAAACAATGTTTAAATGTTGAAGTGAACTACTCATTTTTAAATCAACTGTGAAACAGTAATAACGATTTTTAATTCTCATTCAAAGTGAAATCAAGTTGGAATATGTTACAGAGTAATGATTCAATTTCTTGATCGTCTGTTTGAAATGAGCAAGTGGTGTAAGTTGGTCAAAGTTCAAGTTTCGGTCAACTGCAAGTTTACTGAAAAAGAAATGTCATGTTTAACTTTTACAGCAAGATACTAGAGAAGTGACTCCACGAAGTCTGAGTTCTTCATAACAATCTTCTGTCTGTTCTTAAACAATCTTAATCTTTTTCCTTGACTTTTCATAACACCTTACATCACAAAACACACCTCTGTTTTGGTCCATCGACCAATCAGAAACTCCCAAATGAACCGGAAATAGAGCTCTTTAAATGTTGGCACTTGCTAGTTGGAGTCAGATGAAGGAGTTCTGCAAGAGGTTCCACCTCCAAGTTGGAGTCGGGTGGAGAGTTTGCAGCTCCAGTCGTTTGGGAGAACAGAAGTCCAGCCATGATTCAAAGCTCTTCCGAGTATTGGGGATTATGACATCTTCCACCTCTGAGTGGAACTCTGACGGACTCCACTCATGTGAAGTCCACTCGTGAGGTGAACTGTTGTTGACGAAGTCCCGCCACCACTCCGGACGGTTCTCTGCCATCCTACGGAGACGCTGGACCGGTAGCGTAACTGGAGCTCCGTTTCCACTGATTCATCGTCAGAGAGGTAATGAGTCGAGTTGACTACCGAGCGTACCGAGGAAAGCTGGGTCGAATGGAGGTGCCGTTCTGTCCAACACTTTTCACTTCACCACACACCATCTCCCTCCCTCTAAACTTCAATCTTTAAACTCTTCTATCTGCTAAGAAATCAATCCAGATATTTTTAGAAATGTCTGAAGCAAAGTTTTTCAACCATCGCCGTGTGGTTAATGTCTGTTGTACTGCTGCTAGCTAGAAACAATCGCCGTATTGTTTACTCCTCGTAAAACTGATTAATAAGCTGTCGTTATTTTCAATTCTTGCCAATTAATGTAAATGTGTGATGTGTTAAACTTGATTCTGTTAATAAATGACCCACTGTCGTTGGGGAGTCAAAGATAATTAACGTTTCCATCCACATTTTTAATTATTCAATGCACGTACATTATACGGTCCAGAAAAATGAAAGAATCCGTTTAATTTATGAATATATATCAGCATATGTTCATTCTACATCTGGTGGCCCGTCCGTACGTTTGTTCTACAACTATCAAAGACGGATATGTTGTGGAAATGTGTGAGCACTTACAGTAGTTTCTGGATCTGTTAAGGGTTTCTTCATTTACAGAAACTTACCCACAGTCAGTTATGGCACAGACTAGATTCACATATTTAAGACTTATTTTCAAAATATTTAAGAACAAGTCTGTTGCAGCTCTGTTTAAATTATCTATTGGGGAAATGTCGATGTCTACGTGTTCAGTCCCTTTTACTTTATTTACAGAAGCATCTGCAGTGCTAATACTTTAGTTTGTAAAAAACTGATAACCCCTATGGTTCAGTTTAATAAAAGCTAGATATTTTTCACTCCAAGTGGTCAGAACAATAAAGGTCAAGTGGGCACCAGTGACCCAGAAAAGAAGAAGTGGGTAAAGATAAATGGATGGATGTCTGATAGTGGATGTGGTAATTTGCACCATCGTTGCATCACATTTGCATAGAACATAAGAACATAAAAACACTTGGAACACTTTCAAAAGATGCTTTTGACCATTTATTGAAAAAAGAACAAAATCAGGAATCAATCTCTAATAGTAAAAGAAAGCCAAAAAATAAATAAAAATAAATTACAAAGTATGAAAATTTCTGAATAACGTACATCTCTATTGAAAATATATATCCTAGGTGATCCTGTTAGGGAGGCGAGGAAGCTGCAAAGATAAAGCCAAGTGGAGAAAACTGAGCTGAACTGAATGATAAAATTTGGAATTCAGTTTCATTTTTTTAAATATATCTATATACATATATATAGAAATAATTCCCTGAAACTATATCTAAACAAGTAGTTCACTCAAGAAGGGGACACAATCTGAATGTCATTGTTTAAACCGTAATAAAAAAATAACATTAAATTAAAAATTGCTAACATAAAAGACTATTTTATTACATCCACTCTTTCCCCAAACTTTGCTGAAATAACAGAATAATGGCTTCATGGACAACACACCAGCAGCTACTCTTTATTTACTTGTTTTTGGATAAAGATGAACATATTCTAAAACTAAATTAGTTGTTTGAAGCAGCTGTACATTATTTTCTAAAATAAGCTGCTAATAATGAACAATGATTCACTTCCTGACTGCCAAGTACATTTTACTTTTAGAACAGGTGCAAAAATTGCATATATAGATTAAAAAAAAAAAAAGGTAACAAAAAGCACTAAGTGTTTGTAATAACGGCAGAAAAGCCATTCCCTTCTTGTGTCAGGCTTTATTCAATTTACAGCTTAGAGAAGAAAGAAAAATAATCCAAGAAAGGACTTTTAGTTTGGTAACCTGCAGAGGCAAGTGTTTAGGTTTTAGATTTTTCAAAACGTAATTTTACCTTAACTCAACAGAAATTGGCTACCATTTGTTTAACCAATCTGTCCATGTCAGATGTTGCGATAACCCAAACTGTGAGGTGAAAACAGAGTATTGATGCCCGGATTAAAAAAAACTAAATAAAAGAAAATCCACAATAAAAGTAAAAGGACAAAGAAATCCAACGCAGAGTACAAACCAAAACAGACAACTGACTCTATCAAAGTACCAAACAAAGTAGGAAAAAAACACACCAGCCCTTTCATAAATCAAAATTCATATTTTCATCATAATCTCTACTTTTATGAAGACAGTAGAACTGTACATCTCATATTTACAGATAGAATCTAACCTTAAATACTAGCGCCTACTAGATGTCCACTTGTGCTGCATTAGATGTGTTATAACATCAGCTAAAACTAACTTTTGTTCTTAAACGTCCATTGTTCTTTTTTTTTTTGAGCAAGTACAAATGTGATGAACCGTCTTTGGAAATCAGAATCAGTGATTACAAGATTGCATTAATTGTGTTCTGATCAACATTCAGTCTTGGACTGATTAAAAAAAAAAATCTGATGCATTGAAACTTGTGATGTTGGTGACAATATGTGGACACATCGGACCGTAAAAATGAAACAGAAATGACAAATCTGGAAAAGACACAGCCTGAAAGTCTTCGGCATATCTTCTCTACATATAACATTTTGTATTCACACCTATACACTTTGAACTTGACAATTTATTATTAAAATAGAATCAATGTATCCATGAAAATTACTCACATTTAGCTCATTTGAAATGCAAAAAAAAAAAAAAAAAGCACAAAACTTAATGAAGCCCTTAACTTTGCAGATATGTGAACTACATGAATACAGCTATAGAATTAGCATCCATCTTTAATGGGTATTTGGGAAAAAAGCAAAGAGCTGCATGCACGATATGCACAAATCTTTGCTTTAATGTACTCAATACCTTTCATTTTAAATTAATTTTCCATAGGAAGAAACTTTTGCACCAAAAAAAAAAAAAAGCAGGCGGTACTTTTGATTTCTGGAGACGATTTGAAAGGCGTTAAGAGGATGTATGAAGGTTCATTCAAACAGACTCATGCATGTTAATAGTTTCTGATCACCAAGATACATGCTGGTGCTTTTTATTTTCATTATACACAGATGTAGACCAAATGTATATATTTTTTTCTACACTAATGTTACATAATGAAGTAAAAGGTCTTCGCAACCATCGAGTTTTCAGAAAGTGACCAAAGGCAGCTGAGGTCATGCACGTTTTTGTGTGTTGCAGGTAGGAGACGGCTCACTGATGCAAAACTCAGACTGGAGTTTTACAGCCAAGCGAGCAGCCTTTAGCTTTACAAAGCTCATTAAACACTAGAAAACTGCATTTCAGATAAAAAGTTGAGCCGAGTAGCCTTTTATAAAGTTTCGATAAAGGGCAGGTGCCAGAAATACACTTTACGCTCCTAAAAGAAGCGTGCACACGATAGTTCAGCAAGATAGCATGTTAGAGCGACGTGAGCAATAGAGTATGAAGATTCTCTAAAACCATTGACAAGCCAAACGTTCAATACTCCCGATCAATGTGAAGTTGAAGAGGAAATGAAAGTTGTCTTGTTCTTTTTCTCTATTTTCCAATAATTAGATTTTAATAAACCCCCAAAACTTCAGTAGACATCTTACTGAAAGCCCAAACCAGCAACTAAAACTACCCCATTCAGTTGAACCCATAACGCTTGTGACAGTCTACATCAGTCCAAGTATAGAAAACCTGGTGTTTGTTATAGAGCTCAGCCTTTTACCTGCAATTAGTCATTTGTCAAAATGTTGTGTAACTGTTTTTTTTAAAGAGCCGTCAACCTAAACCTACTTATGGAAGAGAGTAATTTTTTTCAAACAAACTCTTCTATTATGGACACACGACAGCAGGTAATACCTACGTGAGCGTCATCAAAACATTTTTAATCTACCCTTTGAAGATCTATTCAGTTTTAAACAGTATTTTAGAAGAAGAATAAAAATATGGACAACGCTGTGTTTAACCAAAAAAAAAAAAATACAGCTAAAAATAAGTTGGGGGCGTACAACCGACCCTGACAATGGCTTCAGTTACTTAAAGAGTAAAATCCTCCAACAAATGGCTAAACGCTGGTTCCAAGTTATTTCATACATCCCAGTGCCTTAAAGTTAAAAGTTGGACGTTTTATTTTATCTACTCTTTGCTCTCGTGAGGACTCCGCCGTTTAAGCTAGTGTATTAAACGACTCCGTGTGTATACACAGTATTCGACCACTACTTGGTAGCAATCAAGAGTACACAGTTCAGTTGCGCTTTGTAAGAACACAATTCAGAAAGAAACTGATTTGAACTGAACGACGGAGAAATGATTTCATCCAATGGCAGAATGTTCCCGTTTTAAAGTGCAGCCACCGTCTTCTGCTCTCCTAAACTCCTCTAGACGTTTTCATTAGCAATCGATCTTTGTACAGATTTATAATCCGACCAAAGTACAAACCCTGTTCGTCTTGGCTTAAATGTCTTCAATCCTGTTGCTTTTTATTCTTAAAAAGAAGTACTGTGACGGCCAATGACATTTGACAACGACCTTATAAAACTAACATCAGGTGTTCAACACTTTGAATTTGCAATGAAAGGGTCACTGCACAACTCTGACTTGGCAAATTAGTCTGTTAAGCGGCGCTCTGCTTTACTGAGCAGACGCCGCAAACAGCATTTAACTTCACGGATAACAACAAACACGAGACCTGAGAACGTGGGAACAGAGGTGTGCCAGAGACAGCAGGAGTATTGTGAAAGTTGCAGCTGAATTTTATTTTGTAAGTGTATCGATTAGCAACAACCTGGTGGCAAACTCACCTACAGTGATTGAATTTGCACTTTTTTTTAATGAAAGATAATTTAAATGTTGGGAAGTAGGGGGTGCTAGGAATTGATCGCGATTTGATGAGAGGAGCCATTTTGTGTGTGGGGCTTGGCTTCAGTGGTGGTGGTTGGTTTTGGGGGCCAGTCGGGGTCCACGCTGAGCTCCTGGGCCAGATGCATATAGCGAGCTTTGGGCGTCTTCTTGCGTAGGCAGCAGAGCAAAAACTTGTACACTCGCACGTCGACTCCCCCCTGAAAATAAGGTGATGTAAAAACAAACCGTAATATTAAAACTGTCCTTAAGACGGGAACAAAGAGGCAGCGTCAAACTTTGATCTTATTTTAGATCATCTGAACACACAGCCACATGCTACTACATGCAAAGAAAAAACTCAAGAGGATCCAGTTTTGTGATCAGAAGTCATATTTCATGCATGCAAGTCATTCAAAACTAAAAACATTTGAAGGAGTTGACTGTTAACAATATAAAGCCTACTCCTTTAAATAAGCTCATGGAGACACATCAAGCACAATCCTGCAGCGAATATTTTAAAATATACTTAAAATAACAACAAAAATAAACGTTAGCCAGGTTTACTTCTGATTACGAGAGAAACGCTGACAAGAGTTAGCTGGAACCCAACACAGGATCAACCGTAAGAGCTAAGAGCAGAAAATAAATAAATAAAAGCCTCAGATATTGAAAATGAAAACTGAAGCAGACAAGGAAAGAGGCAAACAAGAGGGGATATTAAAATCTAAAAAAAAATAACTGAGAATTAACAAGTGTATTCAATTAAAAAAATTATAATAAATAACATTTTTACAAAAAAGTCTGGTGGCTGAGTTAAATGTAAAAACCTGTAAATTAGAAATTGGACATTTATTCAAAACATATGTTTAATTGAAAAAAGGAACACTACATCAAGCTGTAGAAAACTGCTTTTCTTACATGAAATAATGTTTTTCAACAGATTTATTTTAACATGAATGCCAACGACTTGCTTGGTTACTTTGAGGTTTGAAGAAATGATGGGACTGATATTCAAAATAAAAAGAAATTTAGATTTATTTTTGATGCATCAGACAATTTGAACCTGTGGTCAGGTTGGTTCCTGAACTCATGCAGATTTTTTTAGACTAATGTAAACTTTCAAACATCAAAAATGGTTTCAATCACTGTTAGTATTAGCCTTGAACACAAAAAAACTCTCCAATCTTTTAAACTATTAAGTACTACAGATACTGAAATCCTCACTTTTTGAAAACTGACATGTAAAATCAATATTGTATTTTTTCTTTCCTTCTAAAACATGCAACCTAAATAGGAGGCATATTTAATTCTTAATATTTATATATATATTTTAAACAATGCAACAAAAAAAAGTTGATAATATTGTTGCCTAGATCCTGTTTAATAGTGTGAAAGTTTATGAAGCATTCACACTATTGTGATCCATTTTTCTTCCGTACATATTTCAGCATCTTTCTTGTTCTATAATTTTGTGCCATTTCAACAAATCATAAATCAAAATGTTCAGCTTGTTCAAGACAATCCTGTTATGACTTTTGATATTGGTGCAACTTTTGCTTTTTAAAATATTTAGTTGTTTCTGTCATTTTTTCCCTCATAGAAAATGAATTGAGCTCATTTTACATCCTTCAAATCTTTAGATCTGTTTACAACCTTTTACTGCTCCTTTCACATTTTGTTCTGTTTCAGCATTGTGCATATGTAAACTTTTTTCAGCTAATTTCAGCTGTTTTAATAGCTGTTGTGTGCTCCTTTCAGATTCTTTCTGCCAACACAACATTTTTTGTGCTTCTTCTAACTTATTTCTTCTAATTTCAGCTTGTTATGCTCCTTTCAGATTATCTCTGCAAGTTTCAACTTTTCCTGCTATTTCAGTTAGTTCAAAAAAGTTCAAGACAAAAGCAAAAACAATCTTCACCAGCGTATTTCAGGTAGTATTTAGCTGTTTTATGCTAATTTTAGCCTTTTCAGCTAATTCCACATTTTTTTAGCTCATTTTAGCTCTTTCTGCTTCCTTCTGGTAGTTTAAGTTTCTTTCTTCATTTCAGCTACTTTTCAGCCATTTTTTTCCCCTCATTTCATCCTTTTTAAGCTAATTTCCTATTTTTTGTGCCAATTTCTGCTTATTTAAATCAATTTCACCTAATATGTATTATTTCTGCTTTCTTCTGATAATTTAGGCATGCTCTTCCATTTCAGCAACATTTCAACATGTTTTTTAAGCTGATTTCAGCCGTTTCTCAGCAAGTTCTTCTGCAATAAGCATTCACTGCATCATCACAGGAAATTTAATTTCTCTACTATTTTATTGTCTTTCAATTAAACACATGGTTCAAATCATTTCCAAATCATTATCTTATTTTTCCCCATTTCAGACTTCCATCTCAACTTTTTCGGAAAACTTAAAAAGGTCATTTACTGCAGTCAAGTATATTTCTCTGCAATGTGTACATCTGCAAGGTAATGCATCACCCTTTTAAAAGTGATGTGTGTTATCAAAGCTCACACTGAAACCAGACCCCTGCTTCACACGTTTAAGTCATTGCAGTGAGATGTTTATCACCACCTATAATGTTAGTTGAAAGAAACAGCTGACGTTGTGATTAGGACCTTAATCCATGAACTTTTCCTGCTGCCTCTTAAGTTTCATGATATATGTCAATAACAGAAGTTGTGCAATAGTTGCACCATTTGAGCAGAAATGGAAACACCATAAATCCCAGGACATGGAGCCCATCAGTGGACAATACAAACAGAGACTGAGGTCTCTCATGCACGTCTTGTTAGCAGGTACATTGGAAAAGTGTGCTCTAGAAGAATGTTAGAGAAAGAAGTGAGGAGAGAAAGAAGGAAAACCACACACGAGGAACAAGAAAAGGCTAATGCAGAAGGTGTCAGATTTTCCCAACCTGTAGCGTGGGGGCAGCGGGGGTGTCGCCAGAGTTGCTCTGTTTGTCTCTGCTGAACACAAGCTTCCGTAACACGATGTCAAGGACGATGGTCTATGGAATAGCGCAGTGGGCAGGGGGAAAAAAAATTACAAAAAGGCTAATTTGATTTTCCATTCCTCCTGTTTTTTGTTTGTTTCTGACAAAGAAGTGAACTCAATTTGAAGAGCCAAACTAAATGACGGTTTTAAGAGAACATGTGGTTTGTTAACACAGTTTATTAGAATTAATCACAAGTGAGGTTACATTTAAATTAGTAAGGACTATTAAGATTCAATCTCTCAAAATGAATCGAGCTGTATTAGTTAATTTATTAAAAAGAAAAAGGTTAGTAGAGTTTGCACTGGTAGCTCAGGAGAAAGCTGCATCTAAGACATGCTAAGCATTGCATGTATGTGAGGACAGCCATCTAAAAGGAAGGTGAGCGACCAAGTTGTGGCTCCACTGAGTGTAGCAGGTCAGCAAACCTATTACTTAACACCTACACAGAAAAATACTTATAAACCCAAGAAGCAGTTTTAATAAAAATACACAAAACTATTTTGTTACTTTTCAGAAACCCCAAAAATGCATAAATGTACCCCAAAACAGTCGTATTTAAAAGGCTAGAGAATTCCCACTTCATAAAATATTTTCCCCTCACAACAAAAGATTGAACTGTTAATAAGACAAAGATGAGCACATTGCAAAGAAATCAAAAAAATTGGCCATAACAAAAACATAAACCATGACAGAACTAGTTACAGAGTGCGTCTTACCTCCACCAAAACCGACACAGCAGCATTGACTAGAATGATCAGGAAAAGGTTTACCCTCCAAATAAAAGGAACACAAACTATCTGTATGAACAGAGAAATGGTCATCAACAAAAAAATATTAAAAAGGCAATTCTTTTAAAACTTCATGTATGTGTAAAACATCAAACACTCCTGGAATTAGTGTCCTTTCATATAATGAGTGAGTAAATTTGACCTACCTCTAGAAGCTCATCAATACTTTGAACAGGAAAAAACATGATGAAGACCAGGAAGCAGTACAAACCCACAGTGAAAACTACAAAAGGCCCTGTGAAGCAGAAAAACAAACATGACAACCTTAAATAGTGACTAGAGTGTACATTTAGTATTCTGAAGGACGTCTTACAGTTTTTGTAGCTGGGCTGCCTGAAAGGTTTGCCTTTGGAGAAAACAACTGCAACAATGAGATACTGAAAGCAGGAGACGTAGAAGAGGCTCGTGTTCTCAAAGTTTTGGATGTTGTGGTCGTCCATCTCTGTGTCGTTGAGGTCCGTCTTGTTCAGGTGTGAAGTGAGGTTGCAGACGCTGGATGGGGACAGAAATTCAGTCAAGATTATTCCAGGAACATGCGAAAATATAAACTGGGCCTGTCACGATAATAAATTTTGCTGGGCGATTAATTGTCTCTGAAATTGTTGCTATAAACAATAATACTGTTTGAAAATTTGACAACAGTTAGTAATTATTGTCAAATTTATGAAGAAATGTTGGTTAATTTGTTTCGAGTATAGTACCTTTGTTGACCACCGGATGGAAATATAAGACAGGTTGAACCAAAGGATGGATAGTGAGGGAGCAAGCAGCGCGTGTTAAAAAAACGTGAGGCCCCTTGACGTGACATGAGCTGTCTCTCCTTCCTTTTTTCGGTTCTCAAAATGGCAGACGCTCAGTGGTTTGAGCTCTTTAGCATAGCATTTGTCACATAACGCTTTTAATAAAAATAAAAAAAAAAACAGTAAAGAAGTTCTCAGCTTCTTTTTGAGAGACAAACAACTTTTTACATGAAGGCATGGGTTTCAACCATGAATTCTGGAGCTTCGACAAGACGGAGGTTTTTTTTCCCCCAGAGGTCTGCCTGTTAGCTTAGCTTCTCAGCTTAGCTGCTTTTAACGATCCAAAAACACGATTTTGGATCGTTAAAATGGATTTTAAAGAGAAAAGAGAAGGGGGGGGGGGGGGGGGGTCAGTGAAGAGCACCGGAGTTGAGCCTTTTGTCATCCAATGTCTTCAATAGAAAGAGACACGGAGAAACGATAGCCGATAAATGAAAATGAGGTCGATAGTTTTCATTTATCATGCGATTAATCGATTTATTGTTTATCGCGACAGGCCTAATCTAAACTGTACAAACGTCATTTAGAAACTGTACTTTAAAACTTTGCTAAAACACATTTGGACAGCAGTGATGTGATGTTTCTCTGTTGGGCTGCTCTTCATAAGATACTCACTCGGTGAGTGGGGTCCAGACGGTGTACCAGGGCTGCTGTCGGACCCAAAGGAATGTGATGGTCTGGAAGCCCAAGCAGATGAGGATCTGGGTCAGCACAGAGAACAGTAGGGGCCCTGAGATGAGTCCTGATGGGGGACGACGTGACACCAGCTCTTTCCATGCTGGGTTCAGACTCACTGAAGGTCATACGAGAAAGATGAGAAGGAACAAACAGAAAGTGATGAAATAAAACACTAAAGAGTTAATAAAGGCAGAATCTACAGTTCTGAAAAATATTAATGATGAGCAGTTTAAAGCTAAAGCTCCAGTCTTGTATTGAAAGAACACTAGAAGCACATCGTCAGAGCTTGATTCGTTTGGTCAGAGTCATGTGATCAATGATATCTGAAGATTAAGATTACTGAATTCTTGATGATAATAATGAACAATCAACAATAACACTGGTCACATCTGTGACACCCAATACATTTATTGCTGCTGCACTGTGTGGCTGTATCACGTATGTCACTACCTTACCATCATAATTCAATTAATCTCAATGTTACTCACTACTTGTGCAATAACCTGTCACACAACGTGTGTAGTATATGTTAGTTATGTGCAATATATATTATGTTCTTTTAAGCACCTGTGAAATACTTATTCATACAAATTCATCCTACTTGCACGGTTATATTCTACCATGTTGTTGTTTATCATTTTTCTTTTGGACCTTGTAAATATTATATTTCTTTTTCCACTTTTGGCACTTTATTTTGTAGCCTAATTGCATGCTTTAGTATTTCTTGTTTGTTATTTGTTTTTAGCGAGTCAAATCGTTTCTTATCATCCTGAACATTATTTCATTGCACTGCTGACCTTGTGTTAACCTGCATTATGACAAATAAACAATACAACATAAAAGATAAGAAAGCATCGAAGCTACATCACTGCTCTGGTCCCCGATTCAAAGGTTTATAAGGACGTGATTCACCGTTTTGCACAAAATATAATGATCCAGCAAACAATATGTAATGAGACAAAGCCAGGAGCCATATGCAGCAGTTTTACCAATTTATAAGCACTTCTACCTACCCCCAGGGGGGGAAAAATGCTATGTACATAAGTTACAATATGATCTCACAGTAAACACAAACTAATAATTAATTTTACATATGGTCGTGCTTTTTGTGTTGTAAATTAGACATGCCTTTTTGACAATACATTTGCACATTTACATGATGAGCTTAACCAAGTTTATCTTTCACCTACAAAAAAAAAAATCCATCTTCAAAGCACCACAATGACAGCCTGATATTAGACAGAAATATTACACAGAAATAAACAAGCAGGCAACTCAGCTCAATCAAATGGATAACCAGGTAGAAGCGGTTCATTTCAGGTTGTAGCTTCAAGCTGCTCTTTATACTGTTGGCCACAAGATGGCACCACAGAGAGCTGTGTTGAAAAGCTTGATTTGGCCTTGGCTAGAAAAAATATATTGAAAAGTCTCTGTACTTACTGGTGAATACAATAACGAGAATGATAGCAATGTCGATGAAGAGGAACTGCAAGTCTCCGAGGTTACTTGGGATCTAAAACAAAAAAAGCAACAGAATAAAATTGTCCATATAACAGATTTCTGACTGATATTAAAGCTGCTACCGTAAAAAGACGCCATGTTCGGTACCGAATAAAGGAGGGTAACACTGATGTACTGGATGATGCTGTAGAGTGCCATAAACTTGAAGACGCAGAAAGAGGTGATGAGAGCAGCACGTCCCTCCCTATAAAAACAAGCAAACAGTGCAATCTCGTAAAAGAGCATTAAAAAAAATGTCCTCCAAAATAATGGCTCTACAGGTGCAAATACAGGAGTTACACCCTTGTTTCCCCTTTTTATACATGTGAATATTAATAAATGGTATGTTAGAATAAAAAATTTTGGGGTCAAAGCCTCAATTGTGCGATTTTACTTCCATTATTTTATTTTTCTTTGCAATGTTACACTTAAGAAATAAAACACTTATTATTCGGCAGTCTTCTCAATTTTAATTTGTAAAAAAAAAAAATCCCTATGTAAAACTCTGGGGTTTTCCTGTCTTTTTCAATGGAGTCATTTGTAACAGTTTTTGCAATAAATAATAAATAAAATCAATGCTGCACTCTGAAAGGGCAAAATATTTTTAAAGTAGGACTGATCACTTAACCTTCATCTACAGCATTTTTAAGGTGCAATTACTTAATGCTCTGTAGAGCTACTGAGGTGGGCAACATTTAAATTACACATATTTGAATTTATTTGATGTGTATTTTAATGTTGTAGGAAAGTAAGTATTACACGAATGCTTGTTATCAGGAACATGACTCCATCTAAAATGATCCAGGCTGGCATCAGAGACAAAAATCTTGATTGGGACACCTCTAATAACCATCAGCACTATAATCGGTTGACAAGTTTATTGTTTAACAAATAGTAATATGATGCATTTAAAACCTGCCTAACAAGAACAGAATATATAAATATGTTTATTTTACAAATAAAACTGCAACTAGAAACGCGAACATCTAAATATTTGCATAAATCTAAAATATTATAAGTAAAACCTGATGAGGCTTGGGACACAGGAGATGTTGGGGGTCCTTGAAGTGAAGGGAGAGGCCACTGAGGCTTCAAGCTCTGACAGAGAAATCCCCCCGTGTGCTCTCTTCAGTGCCTGAGCAAGAGAGAAAATCAGCGTATAAACATTATATTCCAACTATGTCCATCACAAGGTGTTGCTGGTTTTATGAAAATCATGTAAACACACCCCACAGTCGTTTGCTCCGTCTCCACACATCCCCACAAAGTAGCTGGAAACAAAAAATGAAAAAGCTCAGCCTTTAGTGTTATTGAACATACTGTGCACTTAAAAAAATGAATATAAAAAAAAACACTGACTCTAGCAGAACAAATGTTTTTGTTCATCTTCTTGGTTATCCAGTTTTAGACATTTAACTTGTCTAATTCTACAACTGAGGGATATATACTTTAATGTGCCAAAAAGCTAACATAACATAAAAATTTATAAACACCTTTGGACAAAAGGTATCGGAAAGTCTTCAGAGGTGCATCATGTGTTTAAATACTCACTCCACTCCCTGCAGCGTCTCAATCAGCTGAGTTTTCTGGTCAGGTGCCATTCTGGCAAAAACTGTCCCGTGCAAAACAAGCTACAAAATACGCACAGTCAAAACATTCCTTAGACGATTGTGTGGGAAATTAACATTCCTGTTCCAATAAAAAAAATTTAAAAAAGCACCTGGCAAATTTCCTTATAACGTGTGACATACCTTTTGAAGCATATCGGGGAAATGCTCAGAGATTACAGCAAATGATTTTCCATTCATTGCAAAGTGATACATTTCTTGCGGTTTTGGCTCCTCTAAAGGATTAACATCCTCCAGGCTTATGTTAATTTCCTGTAAAACAAATCAGTTTGGAATAAAAACAACGCTATTTAAAACTGCTGACCTAAAGTTACATGTAGTTTCTATAATTACAGTAGAACTATACTACAATTGAACAACTGGGAAATGAAACAAAGTAATCATAAATTTGCATCAACAGGCTAAAGTCTGATGTAAACAGTGAATGATTAGGTATTGTTGTGTACCATTTAGGCAAACATTGGTTATGACATTAGCCTTTCTGCTTTACCTCGAGTTGTGTTGTTTTGCTGGGTTTGTCAGCGTATCTCCATGTGATTTTGGCAGCTTGTCCATCATGAGGAAGAATGGCATCAGCTATAATGACTGTGTCCTTGGGGGGAATCATTCCACAGTCACGAGCCACAGAGATTGCCGTCAACATGTTGTCACCTGGAAAGTGAATGCAGAAAATATCCACAAAATTTCATGTTCTGAAGATGGTTTCATAGTAGAAAGCAGCTCTCAAAGCTCTCCCAATACTGAAAAATACAGCCATAGGGGAATATAACAGTATACTAAAATTATATTGCACTGCAGTAGAATTTCTCAAAACCCTTGAAATGTCTCAAAGAGAAGTGGCAAGGAGAAAAAAGTCCAGAACAAAATAAAATAGTTGGAGCGATGCTGTGTCTCTTTCCTGATAAGTTTCTTCATTTTTTTCTTGGACAAGGTTATTAACAGTACGGTTTGTATCCCTTTTCCATCCCATGACCCTTCCATCCCTGTCCCCTGTCCTGCTGTTTTTGACCATTTGGAACCTATTTCCCTCTCCTATCCAGAAAAACTGGTTACCAGTATGACAACTGGTTCCCCCTTGATGTTGTTCCTCTATGTTTTCTTAAGGAGGTATTTCCTGCTGCTGGCCCCTTTATCCTAAATGTGATCAACAGCAGTTTGATGTTTAGTGTGGCACCAAGCAATTTTAGACATACTGTGGTGCAGCCATTGTTGAAAAAAACCTGGCCTTGATCCATCTTCTTTATCAAACTTTAGGCGAATCTCAAAGTTACCATTTATATCCAAAATTTTAGAAAAAGCTGTTTACACCTCGCTGAAGACCTTTTTGGATTAATTTAAAATTTTGGAGGTCTTCCAGTCTGGATTCAAAACATACCACAGCACTGAATATGCTCTTTTAAAGGGTTTTTAATTACATATTTTTAGTACTGGATTCTGAGAAATGCGTTTTACTTGTGCTTTTAGATTTAGGGTGCATTCACACCAGCCCTGTTCAGTCCGCTTTAATCGAACTCTAGCTCGTTTTCCTAGGAAGTCCGGTTCGTTTGGGGAGGTGTGAACGCGCCATCGAACTCTGGCCCGGGCTAAAACCTAGGTCTCGGTCCGGTAGAAGAGAACTCCAGCGCGGTTCGAGTACAGTGTGAATGTAAACAGACCAAGCCCCGCTCCACAAACAAGAAGTGGAGTACAACGCAGGGCAAACAAACACGCATTTCTCTTGCCTCATATGGAGCCGTCAGCTGCCTTGTGTGAAAAACAATATTCTCCATGGTCTTCTGCCTCATCTTCCACTCATGCTGAGTCCATTTTTGAAAAATGACAAAATATAACTCCTAAAACTGCTAAAACTTGATGCCAATCCATTTTTGTTTTTATTTCCAGAAGAAGAAGAGGTGTCTTCAGAGGTTTTTGTGTCGTTTCTTTCAGTAGTTCTTGGTGCAGCGCCACCACAGGCGAGTGGGGGAACAGGTTGGTTCGAACAGGTTGGCTCGACTGCACAGTGCAGTGTGAATGCAAACGCAACAGCTCAAATGTAAACAAAATGTTATGAATATTGGTCCCCAACTGAACCGAGTCTACCGGACTATCAGGTGTGAAAACAACTTTAACAGCTTCGACACAGTCGACCATGACATTCTCATTTCCAGATTGGAGCAGTGGGTGGGTATCACTAATTCAGCTCTTCAGTGGTTTAGTTCCTACCTTTCTGATAGAAGTTTCAGTGTGATGATGGATAATTTTACTTCTGCTTCTGCTGCCCTTCCCTGGGGGGTACCTCAGGGCTCTATTCTTGGTCCTCTCTTGTTCTCACTATCTTCTGCCACTGGGCTCTATTTTTCATGTGGATGACTGTCAAGTCTACTTCCCTTTGAAACATAATAGCTCCACTCAGTCTCTCCTGGACAGTCTTGATGACATTAGAGGATGGATGGTACTTAATTTCCTCCATTTTAACAAAAAAAAAGTCTGAGGTTATATTTAAATCCAGTGGTCCTAGCAGTTTCCCCACCTTATTGTTTTACTGTTTTTTGTTTTTGTTTTTGTACAGCACATCAGTCAGCTGTTGTGTTGTATTTTAAGTGCTTTAGAAATAAAATGGTATGGTCTTTGTACTGAGCAGCTAAGAAAAAGATTATAGGTGCACTTAAGGAAAACAAAGCAAAGATGGATAAACTTGGCCAAGGACTAAAAAAAAACTTTATTTTCTTATTCATGCTTGTTTTGCTACATTCTAAGTTGCTCTCACCTGTAACCATGACAGTGCGAATGTTGGCTTTATGAAGGTCCTGCAGGACTCCTGGGGTTTCAGCCTTCAGCTTGTTCTGCATGATAACAAGGCCAAGGAACTCCATGTTTGTCTCGATGTGATCCCTAATTAGAAAAAGGACACAAATTAAGTCATAGATAAAACTCGAATCATGTGAAATGTTTATAAAAGAAAGAAGTGGGGCATCCTGACTTAAGTAAACATGACATGACATATTTAAAGTTTGTATTTAAGTTTTAAACACAAATAACAGCATGAAATGTTGCACCTGTTAAAACCAAAAATTCAAAACTCAGAGCAGAACCTTGGCTGAGTGATGTCACCAAGGCCGCTAGGCAGCAATTTAGGAGGGCGGAACGAAAGTGGAGGAAAGACAGGCTGCAGGTCTCTTTCCAGATACTTAGATAGTTGGCGCTGTTATCAGAAAAAAGTAAAAGCTGCCAAATCAAAATTCTTCTCTGATATAATTACCTCAAACTCTCACAACCCACATGTCCTCTTCTCCACCCTAAACTCTGTTCTCCACCTCACTGAACCATCACCTCTGGAAGCCTCGACTGAGCTGTGCGACAACTTCTTGCATTTCTTTTTGGAAAAAATTGCGACCACCAGGGCTCTCATTTCCCCTCCAATTCATGACCCATCTATCCCACCTCAATCAGTAGCTCCTTTTGACCATTTTGAACCCATCACTCTAATCTTCTCTAGAGCAGGTCATGTGCAGCCTGAAACATTCTGGTTCCCCCTTTGATGTGGTCCCCCCTCGACTACTAAAGGAGGTTTTTCCTACTCTAGGTCTGTCCATTCTTGCCATAGTAAACAGTAGTTTATCCACTGGCGTGGTGCCAAAATCCTTTAAACATGCTGCTGTCCAGCCTCTCCTGAAAAAAACAAACCTTGACCACTCAGTCGTTCCCAACTACCGGCCTGTCTCCAAACTCCCATTTGTTTCTAAAGTACTGGAGAAAATAGTCGAGTCCCAGTTGAAGTGCTTCCTGGAGGATCACGCCATCTTAGAGCTTTTCCAATCTGGCTTTAAACCTCTCCACAGCACTGAAACTGTCCTGCTGAAGGTCTTTAACGACATCTTCAGATTCACAGATACTGGTGATTCTGTGCTGCTTGTTCTGTTGGACCTCACATCCGCCTTTGACACCATCGACCATGAGATCCTCATTGCTAGGTTGGAGCAGTGGGTGGGCGTCACAGGACCAGCCCTCAATTGGTTCAGATCTTACCTCACTGACAGATCCTTTTGTGTCTCCATCAAGGATTTTAGTTCCGCAGAGGCAGAGCTTAAATGGGGGGTTCCGCAGGGGTCCATACTGGGTACCCTCCTATTCTCTTTATACCTGCTGCCGCTTGGTGCTATTTTCCGGAAACACAACATGCCCTTCCACTTCTATGCCGATGACTGTCAAATTTACTTCCCCCTAAGACACAATGGTACATGCTCTATTCAACCGCTGCTCAACTGCCTGGCTGACATCAGGGACTGGATGGCTTTAAACTTCTTAAGTTTCAATGAAAAAAAGTCTGAAGTCATGTTGTTCCCTCCCAACGACACGATCACAAACCACTGCATCGACCTTTCCGCTCTAACCCTGTCAGAAAAACAGAGTCACTAATCTGGGCGTGATAATGGACCCTTCCCTGAAACTTAACAATCATGTAAACATGATTGTTAAATCATGCTTCTTCCAACTGAGGCGGCTGTCTAAACTGAAGCCGTTATTGTCCAAAAAGAACCTGGAGACAGTAATACATGCATTCATTACATCTAGGCTTGATTACTGCAATTCACTCCTGTTTGGTATCAGTCAGACCTCCATTGCACGACTACAACTGGTCCAGAATGCAGCAGCCCGATTTTTAACCAGTACAGGCAAAAGAGAGCACATTACACCAGTTTTGGCCTCACTGCACTGGTTACCAGTTCACTTTCGAATCCAGTTCAAAATACTCATGTATGTCTACAAATCACTGAACAGTGTCGCCCCTCCCCCCCCATCTCTCTGATCTGCTACAACCGTATGTCCCACCACGCTCCCTGAGGTCAGCGGACCAGTTGCTCCTCACAGTTCCAAGAACTCGTCTTAAGCACAGAGGTGACAGGGCCTTCTCTGTAGCAGGACCAAGACTCTGGAACGAGTTACCTCTGCTTGTCAGACAGGCCCCCTCCCTCTCGGTTTTCAAGTCCTGTTTAAAAACCCACTACTATTCAGTAGCTTTCAACACAAGATGATCTGTGTTTTGATCCTGTATGCTCCACACTGGTTTGTCGTCATTATCTGCATCATTTTTTGTCTATATTCTGATTTACCTCATTTTATATTTTGCTTTGTGTGTTACCTGTTGTTTTGTCTGTACAGCACTTTGGTTGACCTTGTTGCCGTTTTAAGTGCTTTATAAATAAAGTGGTATGGTATGGAAATTCAAAAAAGGCATATAGTAAAACATCTTGATGTGTCTGTACTTTTTCCAACAATATTACATTGTGGTTAAAAATAATAATAATTGCAAGTTATTCCTTTGTCCTAATCATTCACAGTTGTCTGATCAATATAATTTTTCAGAACCTGCTGATGTTCTGGACTTTGTGCCAGCTGAGTTTGGCTTCAAGTCGACGATGAGCCAGAGCAATCACTCTGAAACCCTGCTTAGTGTAACACTCCAAAACCTCCGCAAAGTCTTCAGGCACTGCAAAAAAGAAAAATGCAATAATAATCAACAAAATCCATAACAACAACAACAACAACAACAACAACAACAACAACAACAATAATAATAATAATAATAACAATAATAATAATAATAATGTTAATTAAAGAGGATCCAAATATTTAATGTCCGCACTGTTAAATTTAAACTTGTAAAAACAAAAACACACAGTGAGAACATTGTATTTTGAAAAACAAAGCAAGTGATTTGTCAGCAGTTGCTGCATTGCATAATGTTTTACACCTTTGATGAAAAGGATTAATTACTGAAACACTGAATAAAATGATAGTAAGAAATTAAACCATTGTATTCCTATTTCAATCATCTTTTATCCACCTAAATGTACACACATCAATGCACTAAACTTCACAAATTCAACCACCATCAGGTTGTAATAAATAAAGACAACTCTGAGTTTTAGGACCCCTCACCTGTCTCTTTCTTGCAGAGACTAGCCACAACCTCTGGCGCTCCCTTCATGTACGCATCCATACGCTTCTCCCCCAGGAGACGAGCTACAACGCTCATCCTCTGATGGGCCGAGGAGAAAGGAAACTGCCGCACAATACCAATTTCATACGCTGGCTACACACAGACACAGGCGAGCAGGGAAAAAGACTAAATTAATCCATATGGCTTACTGTTACAAGAAAAGATTTATATGTTATAAAACTAATGTAAAAAATAAGTTTGTATGTTTGTTAAACAGTGATTTAATGACAAAACCCAGACTGAATAAAATAAGTTTATTTCACAAAGATGTAAAGATAAAAATTAATATCAACTAATGCTATATTTGAGCTCAAACTGAGCAATCACATTTTCAGATATCTAAATAATTAACAGTAAAAATTAAATTTATACCAGTCAGAGCACATTATCAGTAGATGGCCAATCAATAATCAGTTAGTAAAACAAAAAAGAATGACAAGTTTTATGCAAAAGTTTAATTATAATAAAAACAAATACTTACTGAAAGCTCATAGAGTTCCTAAAAAATAAAATACAAATGTCTGGTATTATTAAAATGTAGCCGTTATGTATGATGATAGAAAGTGATTGCTATATAGACATAAAATAAGTGATATTATATATATATATATTTTTTTTATTATTGCCCAAAATATATGGTTTATATTTCTTTTTAAATTGTAAGTATATCGTTGAAATTCAGTTTAATGCTTGTGGCACCAAATCAAGCTGAACAGCAGTCTTTGTGTACATACCATGTCCTGTTCTGCTGATAAATTGGCCTCAGGGGGCAGCAGCTGCTTTGGTGGTTGAACCACAGTGGGCATGATCTGATTATGGAGAGAGGTTTCCTCCTCAGTGGCTTCCTCCAGGATCTGAACCACAAAAAGACATAAAATTGTCAAAGTGTTTATATTTTGTAAATACGATCTCCAAATTGATACATGGAGAAAAAAGGCTGTACTGGCAACATTAAATACAGTTAGCTTTCATAAGACAATTAAACAATAGTTATGTTTTCATACATTCTGTAGATTAAATATAATATTTCAACAGTGAAAAAGACAAGTGTGTCCCAGAAACAAATAAATCAAACCTATAGATTAATAAATCCATCAACTGCAGTATTTTTAACTTTTTTAATCAAATTAAAAAGCTGTTGTGGATAAGAACATATTCAAACTAGGGGTTGAACGAGTATATAATTTTTAAACTCAACATTAACATAATAAAACCAGAGTAGAACTCGAGTATTTGATGACGTCATAGATCTCAAGATACAAAAATAAATAAATAAATAAAACCGCAAAAAAAAGGTAATTATTTACAAAAAAAAAAGACCAACAAAACATTGGGAGCGTATATTATGCTCCTACCATTTATCATACAGCAAATAAGTCACAGGAAAAACTAAAAAATTAGTTATTATTATTAAACTGCAAACGTGAAGAAACATGCAGCACATCAAAAACGAAACTTAAACCGAAACTAGTTCTGGTTCCGTGGATTGGACCCGGTGTTACACCATACTCTGTGACCTGCAACAGTGCAACACCGCCCCCTACGGTCATACGGTGGTCACATAATATGACGTCACTGCGGTTACTCGATGTTACAATTTTAACCTCGAAAGATGTACTAGCAATCGATGTGTAGATTACTCGAGTACTCTGTTAATGCCCTAATTCAAACTACTCATAAACGCAGAGGCTGCATGTCCAGAACAGATTAGAGATTGCAGACTACATTTAACATATTGTTTTGATTCTGTTAGATCCGCAGAAAAAAAAAAAGAGGTGAGGTTTTCAGATTGATCTCACTAAGCAATTGATAGTAACTCACCCAGCCTGTAGCCTCAAACATCTTGAGATCTAGTGGGTCTCCAGACAGCTGACCATCTATTTTGGTAAGAGAATGGCAGGTGGCCATGCAAGCCACAAATTGGGTTTTGACAAGATTTTCCTTGTAGGCGTTTTCTTCTGACAGGTGAAAACTGCAGAAGAGTCAGGAGGTCAGTTGTAGGAGAGGAAGATTAAACAAATAACTGAACTGTAGATTTAAGAAAAGTGAGTAATAGTGTGAATGAAAATGGTTATAAAATAAATCATGCATCTGGACATATTCTCCCTAAACTCAGCCAATTTCAACAAGTTCCACACCTCATAGATTAAACTAACCTACCTGCCATTTTCAACTCTCTGAACTCCCCAAAGGTCTAAACCGTCTTCTGTCAAAGTTCCAGTCTTAGGACAAACAAGAGACACACAAACAGGAAAGACATCAATTCTGTTTTCTTGCTTAAAAAAAAAAAAAACAGTCAAACTACAGTTCATGTCATTACAGTTTTTTGTTTTGTGCTATGTGTGGAAGTAAGACACTCACTTTGTCAAAGCAGACCAGATTGATTTGTCCACAAATATTGATTCTCTGTGGGCTGATGCAGAAAATGCCAATGTGTTTAAGACGTCGCTGGGCATACACAATTCCAGCTGTCATGGCTGCAGGCAGAGCTGGTGGAACTGTGATGGTTATAATGTCCAAGGACTTGATGATGATGCGTTTTGCTGGTACCTGGAAGAGAAAGAAAGGCAAAAAACTTCAGTGATTTGTTAAACTGATCAATATTTTGAGTTTAGAGGTAATCTCCCCATCTTTAAATCTCAAAACAAGGTTAATTTTCATTCATTTTTTGTAGCAGTTTGTGGTACTTTAAACAATTGCCTGTGAAAAATACACTAAAAAGCCTGACAAGGTGACTATTTCACTAACTGTTGCTAATCCTACCAAAATAATAAAGCTAAGGTTTCAAAAACTTAAACTTTACTACATTCCTCAGTAAATGTAACACAAGGACAAAGTTAATTAGGAACAACTGCACAGAAAGATAACAAGACAAATAGTTTTCTAAGGAGTTGGCAGATCAAACTGGGTAAAAACCACAAACAACAAAAATCAGACTTTCCATTTTTTAGACTGGGAACTCCACAGATGTGCAATTCATTTTTCCAACACTTTATGTAAAAAGCAAGCTAGTATCTTTTGCCACCCTTTGGATTACCTTGTTCATGATGCTGAGAACAATGGAGTAAATAAAGCCGATTCCAGCCACAGCTACCAAACACAGCAGAAAGCGGTAGGCATCACGATACAGCTTGAAGTCGGTGGGTTTGGGGTAAAGGATGTTGCGCACCAGCTGGCCTTTTGCTGTGCTGAAACCTGGACAAATATACATTTAAATACATTTTTCTTTCATTTAGACCTGTGACGAGACAGTTGTACTAGTCTACTAAGAAAGAAGTTTATGTGGACTGTAGAATTAATTTAAAGATCAAAAATGTCACTTAAACATACACAGCTTTAAATTACTGTTACAAAAAATATATTTTAATAAAAAAAAAAGAAAATACTAACATTCCTAACAATTAAGATTTTAGCCCCATGGACTGACCTGTGCGGACCACTACAGCCTTGACCAGCTCGCTTGTGTAGAAGCGGGTTTGGATGACGTTGGTGCCGCAGAAGAGTGTGTGTCTCTTATGCTCCTCGGTGTTGTAGGCACTATTGACCTCCCCCTGTTGTTCTGGAGCTGGGTTTGGGAGGTTTGTCTTTGTCACAGGAACACTCTCACCTGGTTGAAGGTAGTAAACTGTTATTAGGGTTGACTATAAAAGTAAAATGGAAAAAAAGTAAATTTAAATGCCTAAAATACACCAAGATGTGGGTTCATAGATTTTCCCTCTAACCTGTGAGCATGCTTTCATTGACAATGCAGGTGCCACTGACCAACACAGCATCACATGGCATGATGGTCCCATTGCTTGGGATTACCATCACATCACCAGGTACCAGATCAGTGGATAATATCTCCTCAATGTCTGTCAGAAAGGGTAACAGTCAGAAGGAAGACTGACACTTAAAAAGCTCTCTTCAGATAAGCAACAAAGTAAACGGAACATGCATAATATGTGTCACTTTTTAAATGACTATAGGTGATTTGTAATAAATAAAGTTCAGCATACCATTATTGGCTCGGCATATGGACACACGGACAATACTGTGAGTTGCCACCATATCGTGTAGCATGATGTATTGCTGCAGAAAAAGGAAGGAAGACAAACTGTGACGCAAAATCTTCCCAATTTCAACATGTACCGAAGTGACTGCAGGACTATTATGGTTTAAAAAAGCTGACAGAGTCTGTGGGCAGCAGACCGTGTGAAGATGGGCTTTTCTGTTGGCCTGAAAATGTGGATTAGACTAGAGCAGTGAATATGTGTCATTTTCTGGGACATGTTAGTCTGGAGCAAATTAGGTGAGAGGAAAAAATATATATTAATTCTTTCCTGATGCATGCTCAATAATCCAGGTAGAAAAATCTACAAAAGTTAAGTCAGGTCCTTGAGACGTTCCAAAAACAAAAAAATGTAGTAACGTTTCGTCTTTCATCCAAAAGACTTCTTATTATATTTGATGGTGCTTTTTTATTGGATTCAAGTATGAGTCTTATTTTTTTTAAAGGCAATCCCAAAAAAGGGGGACATTTGATGGTTACATGATTTAACGGCAGCTGTAGATGAATGGTTAGAGAAGTTGCCCTCGAGTGGGAGAGTTGGGGGTTCGATTCCACCAGCAGTCGCATGATGAAGTGTCCCTTTCTGTCACAGACATTCTGGTAAAGTAAGACTACTCAATGCCTATTCTGTCTAATTACTTAAAAAAATTATTTAAACATATAATATTACTTTATAGAATGATTAATGTGCCTTGTATGGAATAATTTGTACATTCAAAGTCAACATGAGGTTTGATGAAGGCAAAAAAAGACAAACTTTTTTTTGGAGAAAATAGATGGTAATCAAAGTCAAAAACTTTTCCTATATCTTCCATGCACCTGGAGTATTTTAGTGTATACAAGAGCAAATAATCAAATAAACTCACTATTAGGATAAAACATGAAATGGAAGAATTTCAGCAAGGTAAGAAAGTGAATGAATGAATGAATAATAATAATAAATGTCAAAAACTCAGGAAACATATCTGAAGGTAATACACTAATTTAGACAAAAAAATATATAGGCAATGTAATAAATATATGCATTCACATTGCATGGGAGGTGAAAATGTTAGTTTGTGCAGTGGTTTATCTTAACAATGGTGCATTTGGAGCAGAAATGTTCAGAAAAATCATAAAAAGCTTCCACAATTAAAAATATATGAAATTGTAGTATTGGGACCACATTTGTACTCATTCATCTGTTTGTATCTAAAATAAATAAAGGTGATGTAACATGTGGGATCTATTTGTAGAGCTCACCTTCTTGATGGTGTACAGAGAGGTAGCTATGGAAATAACAGACATGAAAACGATGGCCACAGCATAGTAGTAATACTCGTCAACACTCCACAAGATCACACTGAAGAGCTGGAAGATGTAAAAAGGGTTGAGGACCTAAAATAAAAATAAAGAAGAAATTATTATGAAAGATTCAAAAACACCTTCTGGAGGACATGGCCCTGGAATGATAAGTGCTTTAAATATAAAACAAAACGTGAAACTATAACAACAACAAAAAAAGATAAAATGTATTTTGTTTTCCAGGAAATTTGCATCAAGAGGAGGTAAATGATGTGGGCGGTTATTTTGCTAGTACAGTGAAGTTAAAAAGTGTTTAGAGGAAGTTCAAACTAAAAGTGTAGCTGAAACTGACGCGTACCTCTTTGATAAGCAGCTTGAAAACAGAAGGCACTTTCACCGCAATTTCATTCACTCCAAAGAACAGTCTCCTGAGAAATAAAAAAGAAGACATTGTGTCTAGTGTTGTGAACCACACCTACATATTGCACATCCACTAGACGGCAGAGTTACACAACTACATACCAAAATGTTAACCAGTACAATCTAAACAACACTGCCAGATGACTAGTTCCTTGTTTTTATACTGGGTGGTGGTTTTACTGAATGTATTTTTGTAATTTAAAATATACATTTTAATATTTACTAAACAATAACCTATGTTTTTAATATAAAACAACTTCCCCATATAAGATCCTTAAAACAGGATCAGGCATACCAAACTTCGTTTCTGTCGATGTGGTTGCATGACCAAAATACTGTCTCCAAGAACCCGTTCTGCACTTCAGCTGTTGGCAGAACTTTCTCTCAGGGGTATGGCTCCAAATGTTGAGTGATTGGTCAGAAGTTTGTGGGAGCGTTTATACGGAAAAGCCTCTGAACTAAACTGCTCTTGTTTCATCTAACTGCTCCAGTCAGGATCAGCTGGCCGCGGCTGTTAGAAAATACAGCTGTTCCAGCAAAACTTACAAAGATCATAAAATAAATCTTATGAAGACAGTCAAAGAACTTGCGGAAGGAGAGGACATTTTTTGTGCACAGACACAAGGCAGCCCTCTGCGGTTGTGGTGGCTGGGAGTACGTCACAGCCGGGCAGCAGTCAGAAACACCGGCGGTCCCATCGAGACAAATTTGCAAAACAGATCTTCAACTCATCTGACAACAAAAACACAAGATCCTCCTTCTCTAAGGCCTCCATTATAATCTGAAAATAAACACCCACTTAAACCTACCATGCTGTCACTTGTTTCTGTTTGCATGCGATGTCTGCTGTGGGAAGGCTATGCATAAAAGAAAGTCTCAGAACTACGTCAGCGAGAACAGATGAGCAACGTCTTGTGACGTAGCAGCCATTAGCTCCATATAATAAATGCAATGTACACTTGGAATATCTGGACTGGTGCAACCTTTTAGTTTAGTGCAAATAAATGGCACTTTGTTATCATCTTGCTGTGATTGTACCAAAAATAGTCAAAATTGCCATGCAATGAAAGATGAACATTTTTCTTTGACTTATACATATTATTCAAATTCTTGCACGTTAAATAAAACTGTGACTAATCTTTTAAACAGACGTCACCTGTACTCCTGCAGGTTCCTGCTCAGGCCGGCGCTGTGCTCCGAGTGGATGGAGGAGCAACTGACCTGCAGATCCTCCAGACCACTGTTAACAAAGATTTTATTTTTTTTTAAAGCAAAGACAAGCCCTTTCAATTACGCTTAACAGAGCCAACAATACAAATCAGACATGTGCAATAGTTGTAAAATAAATGATATTCTCTTATTTATAAAATTTAGTTATAAATAACTGCAAGTTCCTGCAAAGGATCAATAAAGTACCATTTATATTCACATAATAGCTCAAATGTTTGTTCAGGGAAATTGTGAAGTAGGTAAGAAATGCTTACGTTAAAAATTTAAAGTTCTGCATCTCATCGTCCCAGTAATACTTTGTGCTGTGGAAGGTAAAGTAGCGAATCTGACAAAAAAAGAAAAGTTGTTATCCTGGCATCCACACAAAGAAATTTGTCAATGACTCATCTCTATATAAAAAAAGACAATATGTCTGTATGTTGATCCTATTAAAAGAAAACAAGGCAATAAAAGCAATCTATAGCAAACCCCATAAAAACAGTGTGACAACTAAGTGAGAATCAAAGAAAAGCTCAGAGCAAAAAAAAAAAAGTTAAACAACTGTTAAATGGCAAAATATACATTACAATATCACAAGAATAAGACATAAAACATGCATGTATCAAATTTGGAAACTAAATACAAATGAATAATCACCATTATCGGTGTGTTTGCTTTATATTGTGGAAATATTCAACAGTCTATAGCATAGATTAGCATCTAGCTACCTGTGTGGGCTGGTAGTCAGAAAATCTTGCAATGAGCTCCTGAGCAGGGATGCCATCGGAGGGGTGAGGAGTGTGTCCGTTGGCCAAAGGGGGGGAGGCGGAGTTGGAGAAGGTGCAGGAGTGAGAGGAAAGGGAGGGAGCGGAGGAGGGGGAGGTGGTCTGGGTCTCCAGGCTGTGGAAGGGGTTGCTGCCCGGTGCAAGCATCACTCGTACCCTGGCCAAGAACCAGCGCCGGAACTCATCCTGGTAACAAACAAACGAGCAACGTTTGCCTAGTGTACGTTTCAGAGCCTTCCAGTCAGAAACCCCCCCAAAAACACAGAGTTTATTGCTTTAAAAACACTCATGTGATTTTCATCTTTCTGATAATTAAAGTTAGTGTTCTATAATGGGAATGACACATAATTAAAACTTTGGGAACAGGTGTACCAAAAGAATGTCATGTGTGGTTAACGTGAAAGAAGTTATGAAATTGGCCATTTAACATGCACAGCGAGCTGCATTACAAAATAATTAACCTTGATCTAAAACAGGTTATTAATATTAACCAGGTGCACAGCAAATACAGGTGCACATTACAGAATGCAGCCAAATGACAATATGCAAGTAAACATTGTACAGTACAAACCTTGGTGGAACAAAAAAATAGGATTTTGTTTTTTTTGTGATTGCACGATTCAGCTGGTTTAAGGCATTTATTTAGCCAATACAAAATTTCAGTTGTATCATTGTGACGCTACTAAGAAATATAAAAGTGCTTAATACTTTCAGCACCCAGCCATAGAGTAATTTATTTTTACTATTATTTTTGCAGACTAATGGATAGGATGTGTAAATTAGCCTCACCTACCGGTATATATTTTCTAAAGTTAGTATGGCTTTAATAACTGCTTTGTTTAGGACAAACCATAAAAGAAGACAAATAAACTTAAAATAATCTGTTAAAATCAAGATCGTTTTTATTTAGTCAGAGATTTATGGGTTCCACATAGTGGAAACTGTGTGTGTAAATAGAAGTCAGATGGAACAATAATGCAACATCAGCTACAAAAGGAAAAGCATTTTTCTGACATGACACATTGATTAGATAATAAAAATATTGAACAATTTATTTGATGATCTGTTAAAAAGACATCAAGCAACTCTTTGTTTTACAAACATCATCCAGGAGAAGATTTTTTTTTTATTATTGCGTCACCTCATAATGTTTAGTACCATTTTGCTGACAATCCTTTCTCAGCCCGTGCTACAAAACTAGCAGCTGATCAGGAGTTTGACAACAAACTGAATAAAGATCAGACAAACCACACAAATCCAAGATCAGTAGAAATCAACTTGCTTCCTACCGTGGAGCGCAGCAACACCACTTTGGCATCACGGGCTGTGGTACGGGTGCAAGTGGACTTGACGCACCATTCTGGCATCCAATAGAGCAGCAAGAGGAGGAAGCCCCCTGTACACAACACACCGAAGCCCACAAGGGCAAGCCGCCAGCGACACAGGCGGTAGCCCTGCAGCTCCTTGAGGACAAGTAAAAAAATATATTTGATGCGATGACTTGGAAATTTTTCATAATAGAATTGATGTTAAATACCAAACTGGCATACCATCTCCTCCTCTTCCCCCTTGTTGAGGATCTTCAGGTCTCCCTTCTCCATGTTGCAGAATAGTTTGCCAAACCCCCTCCTTAGCCACTGTGAAACAGATTTAGAATTTGAACATTAAGCAAACAAGATATATTATTTCAGTGATTTGTTGATCTTATTGTGTTAATTTAATGGTTTTATTTGTATTATGTTTTGTTATCTGCTGCATTGAATTGTGCTATTTTGCTGCAAAAACAGCCTTTAAACTGATTCTGCTTTTCCTTTAGGCTTGCAAACAATTCATGTTGGCAGAAATGTTATTCCGTTTGCCTTTGCTACTAAACATATCAGCAGATGCTCAGTTTGTGTTGCTTATGAAGTCTGTTGGAGTCAGCCTCCCCACCATCACATACATCTACACGTCCAGATGCAGGAAGAGGGCTACCTGCATCATGAAGGACTAGCGATGCACCGATCCGATACCAGTATCGGTACCGATATCGGAAAAACTTCTGGAACGGGATCCATGACTGGGCAGATCTATTCACTCTAATTCTATACTTTGTGCTCTGAGTGACATCACGCGCTAGCGTACTGACTGAACAAATTAAAGTTGTGTTGTTTTTACATGTATGACCAAGCTTGTGAAGCTCTTGGTGTGTTTAAATGTGCTGTTACGGTGCAGAGTTTTCAATAAATTTGTAATTCGGTACATTCATGTCTGCGTTTGAAAAAAAAAAAAGTTTTACGTTAATTCAGCACTAGGTTTGAAAGCTCACGCATCCAGGTAGACAACAAAAATGGCTAAATCATGTCATCTGGACCAGTTTCAGAAACGGGTCCAGATTACATGATTTAGCCATTTTTGTTAATTCAGCACAGTTTTTCTGTATCAGATCGATATCGGATCGGTATCGACCAATACTAAACCGCATATATCGGTATCGGAAGGGAAAAAAGTGGATAAGTGCATCCCTATGAAGGACCCCACTCACCCAGGCACACACTTTTTGCCCACTCCCCTCAAGAAGGAGGTTAAGGAGCATTAAGTGTAGAGCCACTAAACTGAGGAACAGCTTCTACCCTGAAGGTGTTAGACTCATGAATATCTAACCAGGATAATCACTGTGGAAAAAATACATCATGCTGCTGATCTGTTTCATGTTGCCGTGTTCATTCGTACACATCTGCTCACACAGACACGTGTTCGTGCTGCTGTCCGGCGTATTGTTTTTGTGCTGCTAGTGAATTTTTATTAAATGGTTTTTTTTTCTTCGTTCATATCTTAGATCTCATTACCGTTTTTTACATTTTAATACTTTTGTTGGATGTAATTGGACCCTGTGTACATAATTTCGTTCCACCAACATGTACCACATGTGGTGGAATGACAAATAAAGAATATTGAATCCTTGAATCCTTATTGAGCTATGCAATCAAAAAAACTTGTAGTTTGCAAAGAGTCAAACTCTCTAAAGGAAAAGCGGAAGAACTTTAACTGCTGTGAACCACCAAAAAGCAGAAAATAACATAAGACCAACAATATCTTGCTTCTTTGTTTACACTTTGCATTTCCTTTATCCCAGCTGAGAATCTAACAAAACTCGTCTCTGCCTAGTTAATCCTGGAATTCTGACACATCTCTCTGCTGGTGAAGATTTTTCAAATAGTTCTTGTATAGTTGGGTGTCAAATTAGCAGAATACAATTCTATCCTTTGCTCTGGTTGTATCTTTTACAAGCTCGCAAAGTTAAGTCTATGTATGATTAAGTCTAAAGAACAAATAATGAAAACAATAGATCCTGTACACATTTCATTAGGTAAAGTAAAAAAAAAAAAAAAAAAAA